TGATGCTAGTACATCATTCACAATTCAAGTAACTTTTGAAAAACACTCAGTGGTAGAGTGGTCACAGTTCCTGATTTCTATCATCTCTCACCAATTTGGATTCAAATCTCGTTGGGGGAATTTCGATTATTCTATGTGAAGAAGGTTGGTGATTCTGCTCAGATGCTCGTTCATGCCTGAAATACATTAAGTGGGACCCAAAGTCCCCCCCCCCCCAAACAAGTCAAGCAAAAGGTCACCTTATGACCTTGATAGGGTTGTGACCTTAAAACCCAACAAGCAGTCAACCTTTCATAGATTTTCTTACAGTGGTAGTTATTAGCACAAAGGTCAATATAATAAAGGGGGAAAAAGCTCAACACTCTAATATAAACCCTGGTGACCTTTACCTTTGATACTGTGACCTCTTAAGTGGATCTGGCATGCACTTGTTGTATGGACTTGCATGGTTCAGATTAAAATTTGTGACAAACAGACAGATCAAATCATATCTGCCCTCCAGATTTATTGATCAAAGGGCATAAAACAACAACAACAACAACAAGATATTCACTGTTCAACAGTATTTTATTAAGCTTATATTCTAACAAAATAAATTAACAAAATTAAATGTTCTAAGATCATTATGCAAAAACATGACAATTTTTGTAATCTATGTGTAAAAGTGTGACTTCTTATGGTTTTGCAAAAGGAAAGTTAGAGAGTAACAAGAACTCAATATTCAGCAAGATACTGAATGACACATTCAGATGTTATGGATGTGCAGAATGAGTTGTAGATATTTGTACATAACTCTATTTATACATATGTTAAAACAAGGTGCCATGTTGGCCCTAAATCACATTATGAAAAGAAGTGATCATTGGAATAAGCTCATTACTGACCCAGATTCAATTTAAATAATTATGAAGACTAGAAATGTGTCATCATGCCACGGATGCCCCCGCATGCAGCCAAAATTTCAGATGTTATTATATTTAGTTCCAAATTTGTTTGCACAAATTATTGTTTTCATTTTCAGTTCAAAGCCCTTAAAACTTTTCAATGTTAACACAAACCATTTTCATACAATGTTCAAGGCACTGAAATTATTCAGTCTTATCCTTTTGAAAATAAGCATATTTCATATTTTGTAGCCAAAAAAATGGCTACATACATTTCACAAAAGTATGAGTGCTGAAACTGAAAGTTCAAAATTTTTTCCATATTCAAGAAAGATAAGTTTGTCCAAATCATTGACCACGACCAAATTTCAAATTTAAAACTGCCTATTCCTAAGATGTATCCTATTTATTTTTCAAAGTGAAAGGGACATAACTCTGCCAAAAAAATCATCGAACCATGACCTAATTCCAACTTGACCTGCCCATTCCCTTTGACATATCCTTATGTCTCAAATTTGACCGTTGAATATTTAACACTTTTGGGTTAGATAATGAACAGGAAACTGTAAATTTCATATTTTTTTCAAAGTAAAAAATTTGCATTACTCTGCCAAAAATTATTGAACCATGACCAAATTCGAACTTGACCTTGGCATTCCAAAAAAATATCCATATGTCAAATTTGAGTTGAATGTGTTGTACTGTTGGGGAGATAATAAACAGAAACTGAAATTTTCATATTATTTTCAAAGTAAAAGGAGCATAACTCTGCCAAAAATCATCGAACCATGACCAAATTGCAAACTTTGACCTGTATTTCTCATGACATATCCATATGTCAAATTTGAGTTGAATGTGTTGTACCCGTTGGGGAGATAATGAACGGAAACTGAAAATTTCATATTATTTCAAAGTAAAAGGGCATAACTCTGCCAAAAAATCATCGAATCATGACAAATTCGAACTTGACCGTATTTTCTCAAATGACATATCCATATGTCAAATTTTGAGTTTTGAATGTGTTGTAACGGTTTGGGGAGATAATGAATGGAAACTGAAAATTTCATTATTATTTCAAAGTAAAAATGGCATAACTCTGCCAAAAATCGTTTAAAAAACCATGACCAAAAATTCGAACTTTGACCTGTATTTTCTCCATGACATATCCCATATGTCAAAATTTTGAGTTGAATGTGTTGTACCGTTGGGAGATAAATGAACAGAAACTGGAAAATTTCATATTATTTTCAAAGTAAAAAGGGGCATAACTCTGCCCAATCATCGAACCATGACCAAATTCGAACTTGACCTGTATTTTCTCATGACATATCCATATGTTCAAATTTGAGTTGAATATGTGCAACCGTTACTAAGATAATGAACGGAAACTGATGATGACGGAATGACAGAATGACGGAATGACGGGAAAGGACGGATGACGGCAAGGACGGAACAGGAACAAGTAACACTATATGCCCCGGCCATTACATGGCGGGCATAAAAACCATAAATGATTCTAAAATCTTTAAAAAAAAAAGCAATACATACAATAGAACATAAATGATATTTAACAAAACATATATGAAATCAATTTACTGCAGTATTTGATTTTTTAAAAGTTATTGTTAAACAATTTGTCTTATGTAAAAACGATGACTGTAAAATGGAAGGGACTAACATTCTTAAAGAAAAAATCTAAATATATGTTTTACTCTTCTATATGACATACATGTATTTCTTTCCAACAATTTACAAGTGATAGAAATTATAAAATGTACTTTAAAAATATGAAAAAATTTTGAAATCTGCCAAAGACCTCTGTTTTTATTAAATATAAAATTTAAACTATGTAGATTAAATATATATTCAGGATTGAAATACTTTTGTAAATAAAATTAGAACAATAGGTTAAAAAACTAAAGCCAATACACTGTACAACACAACCAACTGGTAAATAAGAATACAACACAAAAAATACCATGAACTTATAAATACTATAAATAAAATTTGTATTATTGAGTCTCCCAAATGCCAAAACAATAAATAGTAAAATTGCAAAAAAAACGAATGGTGATAAGTAAGGCCCAACTCATTAACCCAAGAACATGCATTTTGTACTGCCAAAGGGAAACTGCAGTTCAGACTTTTTCTGTTCTAGTAACATGTTTAAGGCAACACTTAATGTTTGCCACCTATACTACTACTGTATTACACAGTACACCATTGCATGATTTTGATTACTAAATGACATGATGTATAGTCAAAACATATCATGTATTCATGTATGCTACGTTTTAAACTTGAATTTTATTCAATTTTCACAGTGATCAATTTCCCCTATCAGCTAGATATAGACGAACAGACTGATGGAGATGAATGTAAGGTCAGACGAGCTATCTAGAAATAAAAATCTGGATACACCATCCAGTTATAATTAAAATCAAGTAGGTGCAACTACTATCTTCTATTAATTATAATATATGAAACATTTTAAATTGTATAAATAAATGTAACAAAACATAACAATAAACATTATTGTTTAGTTTCTTATGGAAAGTATCAACTATGTAATAATAAGACAGTCTATATCGCTTACATAAAAGTGTAAGAAGGCAAAAAGTTCCCAAGATCAGGGGCATTTTTTACCACAGGTTGTATTACAAATGTATTAAAAAAAATAATAATTGGAAAACAACCAACAACAAGCAAATTCGTTGAATTTATATCCCCCGCCGAGTACTGGTTATTATTAACACAACAACTGAAGACATAAGGCTTTATTTATATATTAATCATGGCATAAACAGTAATATTCTTTGAACTTGATAAATATTCAGGGCAATAACAGAGGCCATAAACTTTGTGTTAAATAGTAAATCTGGAATGCCAATGAGATTATGCATACACACTAACTAACTCAGGGCTATAAGATTTATGCTAGTCATGATGGTCATATAATTAAGTAGTATACTGGTACATGACAGAAATCGCATAGTTGCCCGCACCTTATCTTGCTACCATTCTGCCACTCTATGGCTCTTGTGAGAATTTCAACGATAAACTTTATTGGGACCATACATTTAAAATACCAAATAGGTATGATGCGTGTCGTCATCGTCGGCTTCAGCTCGTTCCTTCAGACAACTTTAGACTCATGAGTGTATCGGCTCTAGTTATGGCGTAGTGCTTATGGGAGTCTTTTGAAGAAAGAATCTTTCCGGCGCTACTTTCTCTGGTACTACTCCTGGCGTTGAGAGAATCGATTAACTTTACGTCACATACTTGTCATGGGACTACAATCATAGGGCTCATAACATAACCAGACTTGAGATGTAAATGTGTCTTGACATGCCGAACAAGCCACTCGATCGAGTTCTATGGCGCCATCGTAGACTTTGTAGACGCCCTAAACACTAACTGTACCCAGGCAGCATGTCTATATCGTGTGTCGGGTATTGAAGGGTCAGACACTTTAACTCAGGTTTAGGGCTTCCCATTAGAATTAGTTAGCATAGTATTTGTGTCAGTAAAACGGTCGGCATGTTGAATTCCATCCTAGTCTTAGGTTATGCAGATACGAGACAAAAGAGATAGCCGGGAAAAGATTTTTACTCCATATGCATACGCATAACTAACAAGGGCCAAACTCTGGTTAAGGTCTGAATTGGAACAAGCCGACATATGCGCTTCCTTGGTATTGGATGTTCCATAAAGTTTCGTGAAATTTCCAGCCAGTAGCGAGAATGTATGGAAAACGTAATACGCGCTAACATACTAATCAAGGGACTCTGATAAGTGTGACTGAGAACAAGCCTACTATATGTACCTCTGATATTGAATGTCAAAGTGGTCCAGCCGTATTGCAGAGAACTACTCCGGAAACGAAATTCGGACGGACTGAATGGACGAAAGTTCAGGAGAGTAATTATGTGGCTTATCTATTGTTCTCTCTTTGTTCTTTTTTAGCCACACAAAAGAATGCCACATAAAGCATTACGGATGAATGACATCAAGAGAAGAACAGTCCTATTGTCCTCTAGCCATATTACTGTCTGTGGAGTGCGGGAAGGACGGACGGCGAAAGCGGGACAACGCCAAACTTATCCCCCTCCCGATTCCATCGGCGGGGGATAACAACCATCACAAATCTCACCATATAGGACAACATATTCAGATCTGGTAAATAAACCCAAGAACCAAGAAAAAAAATCATTATATAATCCAAAATTATGCTTAAAATAGAATATGATAATTGTATTAACTATAAAAAAAAGTGTCTGACAATATATGGTTTATCTGTAACAACCAAACTGACTTGTCTTATACCAGTTATTGATACACACATTGTTTTAATAACTTACAAATAGAATCAAAGTGACCGAATTTTACACAAAGTACAATCTGAGAATGTTACTCAAACCAAAAAATCTTAACAATATGAAAAGTGAACACATAGGTAGTCAATAGTTATCACAATCACGAAATACACAAGAAAACAATGACAAAATTATTCACATCAAAAATCTATAGAATAATGCCATAAATAACATTTCAGTACTGACCTTAAAACACAACCTAAGTAACACTAAATATCGAGAAATATAAAATTGCAGACTCTGTGCTGGTCAGTTGTGTGCCCAACTTTATTCTCTTATGAGTTACGACTGTATGGCACTTTGTATGTCTTATATGTACATTTAATATTTTGATTAATTTCATCTAGCTACAGGTACCTTAGCTTTATATATTACATACCAGCATGCCAGAGCCTTGACAAAACCAAATCATTATGACAATTTCTTTATTCAAACAAACATTGACTAAATTCTGAGATAATGGAAATTACCAATTTTTTAATGTTTTTTCTAAGGATCTTGGTTTCTTTTTCTTTCTAACAAGAGTTAAACTCCCTTCTTATCACCACTGTTAATGAATTATATGATTCTGCCTTTGAAACTATTAATCAACTGATAAATATTTCAAGGCTTTAATCCCATATTTTTGTGAGAGATCTCGCTGGAATTCAGCTTTCAATGTCTTTAAGCACCTGAAATAAAAACATCATTTTTAATCTTTGAAACTTGATCATCTTTGATATTATGCTGGTATGATTATGTTGTTATGGTTACCATTGTATAAATTTGCAGCTTTAATAGTTTTGTTGTTTAAATGATTGGAAGATGGATAAAGTATTTAATATACATGCCTATTAGAAATACTTATTTCTGAATTGTTATTTATTTAACTATTACCATGCTAAATATCTTAAACATACTTGTCCATCTTTCAATCTAGACAAAACCATTTTCGAGGATAAAATGTTAAAATACTCCCATACTGAATACAGATCAGTGCAGACCATGATTAGATGGCAAGCATGTGCTGGTTTGGTCTGCACTTGATTCATGGAGTAAAATATATTGCAGTCAGCAGACCAGGGGATAATATAAAATCTTGTATAATTTAGAGACAGACAATGTCTGGGGTTGATAATTAGTTTACATGGGATCCATTATTATGAACAAGAAAAACAGACAAACAGGCTGATACATATACATGTAGAATTTAGTTTCAAGCAGAGTACACATCAAATGTTTACAGAAAAACAAACAAAAAAATCAATAAATTTTATCAATTTCATAGATTAACAGTTTAAAAATATATCTCAAATAGTTTCAAACAGAATTTGAAGCCATATTAATGAGGGACAAAAGTCTGACTATTACTTCTCATACAGAGTAATCCAATGTCGGGGAAATAAACGATTGTGTTACATACCTTCTATATAATGAACTAGACCTGAATTTAGCTATATCAAAGCTTGGAGCATGAGGCATATGTATCATGAAGGCATTTGGTAAAACTACGTACTCATATCTGAAAATACACACAAACATACTTGTACCTTAAAAAACATTAATTAGTAAATCTACATTAAAATACAACTGTTAAATTGAAATATGTCAATTCTTAAATATAATATAATTTTTATCATAATTTTCTAAAAACAGGGCTTTTATGAATCAAATAGGTGTATGTGAAAACTAGTCAATTAACCTGATTTAAAGAGCTACATAAAGAACAGGGAAATGAAAACAACAAACAGTTATTTATTTTTACAAATAAAAAATATAAACAAGTTTTGTAATTTTTTTAGAGATACAAGGGGAATTTTCCATTCCTTTTCTGGTTTATCTTGATTTTTAGAACATGCAGTAAAAAGACCATTGTTTTTAAATGAAAATGCTCAGAATTTCCATTTTAAGGATGGGCATAAATCAGCAGGGAAGTGGCTTTAACATTTAAATTTAATATTAATAAATCATTTGTTTAAACCATATATTTTAGCCCACACAAAACCCTATAACATATTTAGTTTTACAAAGTGTTTTCTTTCTATTGAATATATGTGAACAAAGTTTTGGAGCTCAATATAAGTAACCATATAAGTAACCAAATGTTGGAAAATATGGAGAACCAAATACCCACCCCTCAGCATCAAGTTGCATAATATGAGAGACTTTGTTCCAGCCAAAGCCTACAAAACGTTGATCAAAGTGAGGTATATTCTTGCTGACTGCAACATACGGCTCAAAATCTTGCTCCCATTTCACCGTGTATGGTTCTGTGGCATTTCTCCATTTCTCATAATCAGTCGCTGCATGTCCTTTTGCCCAAACATGATATCTTAAATATGTACATATATATAAATATATATTATGTGTACTTTTAAGACCAGTAAGAAAATATCTTTAATAAACATTTGTATTTTTCCCATAAAAATAATAAGATAGTTTAATATGAAACATTGCATATTGAAGTTTTTTCATATGTTTTGCAAACAGTGACAGTCTAATACAGGCTGGCAGCTTAATTATTTTTTGTGGGAGTAACACACAACTTCTCTAAACAAGAGCCACCGCCGGGCGGGGGCAACGCTCGACTTTTTACTTTTTCTAAACGCAAACATAGAAAGGTTTGAACATATATTAACGTTTCCTTTTTATAAATTTAGTTGGTCTGTCTTGTCACATTAGTTTTGTTTATATATTTTGTATATATATATGAATAGAAACATTAAGCATATTTCTAAAAATAGCAACAGTACGCAATTTCTGAAAATAGCAACATGACGCAATTTCTAAAAATAGAAAAAATGACGCAATTTCTAAAAATAGAAAAAAATGACATAATTTCTAAAAAAAAAAAAAAATGACGCAATTTCTAAAAATAGCAACAATGATGCAATTTCTAAAAATAAAAAAAATTGACGCAATTTCTAAAAATAGAAAAAATGACGCAATTTCTAAAAATAGAAAAAATGACGCAATTTCTTAAAATAGCAACAATTTCTAAAAATAGCAACAATGACGCAATTTCTAAAAATAGAAAAAATGATGCAATTTCTAGAAATAGAAAAAATGACGCAATTTCTAAAAATAGAATCTAAAAAAAGAAAAAAATGACGCAATTTCTAAAAATAGAAAAAATGACGCAATTTCTAAAAATAGAAAAAAAATGACGCAATTTCTAAAAAAAAAAAAAATGACGCAATTTCTAAAAATAGCAACAATGACGCAATTTCTAAAAATCGAAAAAAAATGACGCAATTTCCAAAAATAGAAAAAAATGACGCAATTTCTAAAAATGGAAAAAAATGACGCAATTTCCTAAAATAGAAAAAAATGACGCAATATATATATATATATATATATATACAGTCGACTCTCGTTATCTGGAAGTCATTGGGACCGTTCAAAAAATATCGAGGTAACGAAATGTCGAGATAAACATATTAGGGTTAAAACAAAGCAAACTGATTTTTACAAAAGACATGTGCATACCTTATGTCAAATAAACTATAATATCCCCATGTCTCGTTTTCATAGGCCTAGTCAATATTTAACAAAGTAACATAAGCGGATGTTTACCAGCGGAAATACGGGTGTCTGTGATAAAAACACATAGTGAGGTTTACTCAGTAATACACCAATGTAGTGAATCGGATATCGGATATGGTTGATCTGGATATCCTCCCGGGTTATTTATCGGGTCTTTCTCGAGATTGTTCCACCGCTGATTGATTTGGTGGTGATGTTGTGAAACAGTATTGCAACGATAGCGTTTCTATACTTTCACTTTTTCATTTACATTTAAAGTCATAATGAATTGATACAGTGTTCGAATATTTAAAAAGAATGTAAAATTCACTCATTGTGGACATAAGTCAATCAACACGCTAAATAGATTAACTTTTATAAAGACAGCTAAACTTGTTACAAACATAATCGTCATTATGACACGCGCTATTAATTGAGCAATTATCGTCTAGATTGTGTTTTTCACACGTCTGAAGGGAACAGACGAAGTCGAGATAAACAAAGGATAATAGCTTGAAAATAACTGTTGGAGCTGAAATTTTACATCGAGATACTGAAAATATCGAAATAGAAATATCGAGATAGACAAATATTTCCAGTATAGATAAAGAAGGAAGAAAATCGGGACTTTCAAAATTTCATCGAGATAACGAAATATCGAGAAAAGCGATGTCGAGATAACGATAGTTGACTGTATATATATATATATATATATATATATATATATATATATACATGCATATATATATATTTGATATATATTTGATATATATATAATATATATATATATATATATATACAGTCGACATTGTATTAAGAGACCACTCAAGGGATTGCCAAAAAGTGGTCTCTTAATAAAGTGGTCTCTCAATAGAATGCTGGAAAATTCGAGACTTTTTATTACAAGTCATAGATATAATAACATTTTTTTTATAAAAACAAAAACTATACAATATTATGTATGTATTACCGTTTTATAATTACATTTATGCCCTTTTTTAAAAAAAGTCATCAATATTGTTTGTTTTTGATTTTTAGTAGAAATTTGTGTACAACTGTGTTTTACGCTCATAATACTGTAAACAGGTCATTTTGACCATGATACAAAGCATATTGTCTTATATTTTCAATATGTTCATACACATCTCCTGCTGAACATACTTTAGAATCATCAGGCAGAGCTCCAGATAATTATTTATGCAATGAGTTTTAATAAACTTCTTGATTTTTTCAACAATTAGTTTTCACACTACCCCGATTTCAAATTCAATAAGATTTTTAGAGATCTAGGATTTTTTTTGCCTTTTTTTTGTCGAAGGGTCATATTTAATGGGATACTACATGTATTTTGTAAAGCATCAGATGAGCACCTACACCATCAGCAATGAAAGGCTCGGCTCTGTAATGTTTAGTCTACTAGGTTTCACGATTTTATTTCGACTACAATCGATGACATTTGCTATTTACTCAGACTCAATTCCATGCACGATTTCCTCATACAATTTATCCGGTCTTATTAGTTGTCTGTCTTTTTTTCGCTCGATCCGACATCATTTTCGATAAGGGAGGTCACTCTCAGCACATGACTGCAAACTCGGTGTTGTGATACGTTATTGCTCTGACAAAATATGTCACAATAAATATTACGATCGGAAAATCCGATTTTGAAACGATTGCAATTGTTATTCATTTCGTTTTTAAACGACAATTATTTGTGACCAATGACCATGAAAATTATTTGTTTGTTTGCTTGTACACATCTAACCTACTCGCTAATTACACAGGTGAGAATGCCCGCAGGGACGATTGTTTGTCACGGCCGTTTAATAGATACTTTAACACTTAATTTTGTACATTTGGGCCGACATTCAGTGGCCGCTGGCCGCGATATAAAATAGTCGTTTAATGGAATTAAATTAAATAGTAAAATTCATCGGGAGGGATTTTATGCGACCGCTTAATAAAAAAGTCGCTTAATAAAGGTGGCCGCAAGTACGATGCCGACTGTATATATATATATATATATATATATATATATATATATATATATATATATATACACATGCATATATATATATATATATACACACACACACATTTATATATATATATATAATACATATACTATACATACACACACACACCAATAAATGCACAATCTGAGAAAATTCAGTAATATAACCTTCAAGGTCAAGGTCATTAAAGAGCCCAAGCAAATTTGGGTTTAATAAACAACAAGGTCTGGTCCTTAAGAATGTTCTGTTATAATATGAAGTTTATCCCTTCAAAAATAGCAAAGTTACAGTCAGTTACCGCCAAAACAATGAAAATTTCAATAATTTGACCTTCAAAGACAATGTCATTAATGAGTGAAGGTCAAGGTCTTTCGGTATATTTTTAACAGTTATCTTTGAAGATTATTATGTTCAAGTTTGAAGACAATCCATTCAAAAATAACAAAGTTACAGCCAATAATAGCCAAAAAAATGAAAATTTCAATAATTTGACCTTCAAAGTCAAGGTCATTGATGAGTGAAGGTCAAGGTCTGACTGGTTATTTTTAAGGGATATCCTTGAAGATTATTATGTTCAAGTTTGAAGACAATCCATTCAAAAATAACAAAGTTACAGCCAATAACAGCATGAACAAGCAAAAATTGGACTTTTAACCTTGAAGGTCAAGGTCATTTATGGATGAAGGTCAAGGTTAGTGTGGTCTACTGAAAGGTCTTGTCCCAAGGGTTGTTGTGGCCAAGTATGAAGACAATACACCAAGAAATAAAAAAGTTATGATCCAGGTACAAGTTTTCGGACGGCAACGGCAACGGCAACGCCGACCTGACTATAACAATACCTCTACTTTTTTTTTCAAAAAAAAAAAAGTCGAGCTAAAAAACAAACAAAAAAACACAGCAGTGGTGGGTGAAAGGAGATTTTACCAAAATTTTGTAAACAAGTGTCTGAGGCCATCAAGAAAATCTCACATCAAAGTCAGATCTCAGGTTGGAAACAAGTCCAAATATTTAGCTGTGAAAAAAGTTATTTAACGTTTTATATTTATCATTGTGACATTTTATATTATCAAGGCTTTTTTTTATTATTTCTCTTAGCTAGTGGTTGTTTAATAGGTCTAACATTAATATTCAATGTTCCAAAATACCAAAACCAAGGTGTGACACTGACATCTATTTATACTTAACTTATTAACTAATTATAGACACTTTTCATGGATTTGTGCCTGTAAATAAGCTAACAATAACATGAGGATCAAGACATATATTTGGTTCAAACATATTTAAGTTCAAGATATATACACGTAGATAATTTATAAATTAAAGCAGAAAGGAATAGGCTGGATTGCTGTGTTACCTCTTTAAAATAACAGAAATATTTTGTTAAGTTCAGCAACATAAACATAACAATGCATCACATACTTGAAAGAACATCAAAATAAAGTTTTTGTTTATTCAAGAACAGATTTTACCTGAAAGTAAACAATTCTCCTGAATCTAATAAGCCAAGAAGTTCTACTTTAGTTGTTGGAAACGAAAACCTGTATCTCTGGGTTTCAAATGCTGGTACAATGAGGGCCTGTAAAATATTTGATATAAATGACAGATATGTCAAAATTTTATATCCAAACACTTGTAAATGGCATAGTAAATTAATAAATGATGCATCACTGACTTTAGAACAATGCATACACATACATTTTATTTTCCATGAATTAAATTTAACCCTGAAACAGCAAAAATAATTAAACAATAATTGTATGTACCATCTTCCCTTAAGCTTATTACCTTTAAAATGTAACAATGTTTCATTTTGATGGTTATTAATTACTTTACTATTCGATATATCTTTTTATTGATAATCAATTGTATATTTTACAATTATATGTACAGTAAGATATAGTTTTAGGTTAGGCTGAAACTGTAAGGTCATATGGCCACTTTTCAGCTTTACAGGTAAAGGAGCCCTAATATGCACTATTATATACTCTGTGCATTATTTTTATGCAAATGCTGTCAGAACCACCAAACTAAACTAGCTGTCCACCTTCCGTACAAGACAGAAATCAAAGATATATATTTTCACCATCAATAACATATTCATTTTGCCTACAGTATAAAGATATATATTTCATCCCTTTTTATACTTTTCTTTCTCCTCCAATAAGATATAGTTTTCACTTACAGTAAGTTTCACTTTTCAGCACCAGTTAGATACACATGTAGTTTTAACCTCCAGTAAAATATATTTTCCATCTACAAAAGATGCATTTTCCCCTTACAGTAAGATATGGGAATCACTTACTTTTTTCTGGTTCCTCATATCTGCCATATTTACTGCTTTCTTTAAATACTCGTATAATCCATACATTGGTAGAAAATCTATGTCTGATAAAAACATAAACTCTGACTGCGTTTGTTCAATGGCAACATTACGTAGATAGTTTACTGGATAGTATTGCTGAAATACATTGAAAATAGTTATATAACAGTTGATAAATTTACCAGATGGGTAAAGGATATTTTTCATATTATGATTTATATGTACCATAAAACCAAGCATCTTTAATATTTCACACTAGAAAAACGGTTTTTAAACAGCAAAGTATAAAGTAAAAGAAAATATAAAACAGAGTCTTTGTTAGATACAGTTGGTTCATGAGTGACGGAGATAAAAGCAACATCTTACATGCCCCCTTTGCACAGATATTGAAATCTTTTTGTTTTGACTACCATCTACACTTAACGTACCATGATTTGACTTGTCTACCCAAAATTTTTGTAAACTTCAAATATTAAGCTTTACATTGATATAACATTTATCCATGGACCTTTTTTGCACACAAAACTGTACTCAATTCCAACATTTGAGTCTAAGTGCAATTTTACTTTAAAAATTGGCAATTTAATAATTGTTTGCCAATACAGCACAAGTCTCGTCTTACCCTTAAAGTGCTACATTTCTCAATTGTACCAAGTCTTGTCCACCTACCTTTTTTGGCATTGTCAATTTTCAAAATTTTGAGACATCAAGATGAAAACTTAAAGCTAGTCAGCCAACAGTATAAAGCCTGATTAGACCGTATGGATACTTTCAGAAAGAGCAACAGTAAAACCCAAATTTCTAAATTTATCATACCCCATCTTTATATACTACATGGTATCCGATGTTCTTCCTCTTCATCAATGTTTCTGAGCCCCGTGCATAGCGTAAGAACTGTTGTGCCTCGGCATCTGACATATATAGTGCCAGGCTGATGGGCCCCTCCCAGTGTTTACATATTGTCTCCAACATCTATAATAAAAATAAACTTATAAAAGAAATGTAAATGTTTTAACTTTAATATTAACCTTCTAGGGATGTAATAGGTAATAGATTGATGACTATAAATCACTTGTGGTAGTATATCAAAATTCAAATTAATTGGATATTAACTGTACACTAGACTAACTTCATATAATATTACCTACTCTACACTGGAAAAACTGCCTAATTCAATGAATACCTTAACAATTTTCCAAAGTAAAGGAAGTGAATTTAAGATATAAAGTACACAGTAACATTACCTGAAGCCTGTCCATGCTAAGTTGAGCAACTAGGGTAACGTCCCACTCGTCAGGTTTATATTGATAATCTAGATAATACAGATGTGTTCTATGCTCTATAACTCGCTCTCTTCTAAAATCATAGCATTCATCATCCTCATGTATTTTACTGATCTGTTTATAGAATAATAAGGATACATGAAAAACAAATAGTTATCAATGACACTGATATTTCATACTTAACAATAATAACACATCTCTAAGTGGCCAAACTACTAACTAAATAATCTGGAAAAGAATACGACTATTTATTTCCTGTTTTAAAGGGATACACAGGCAAAATTTTCATTTCTTCGTTTTGAATTTTTCATTCATTTATCTGTTAATGCCCTCAAAATGAAAACACTAAGCAGTCACAGGAACAAAAAAATTCTCCTTATAATGAATAAAATGGTGGTTTCCTAACCTGACCCACGTGGGTCAGGTTAGAGTGTTAAGATTTCACAATAGTTGTCACAGTGATATCTGGAATCGTTAAAGAACGCGTCAAATGAATGATTTAGACTTGTTTCAATCATACACTATCCACAATATCTGAAATTGTAACTTCTAGGGTTTGTTCAAGCCACATTACTAGTTTTAAAACTACTCAGTGATTCTGTCGGCGTCTAAATTTTGTTTAACATTTATAGATATATTTACGCTTCAAACCAAAAATATATAGATTTTTTACAGAAATTCATGCTGGGACTTTTACAAATGTCATTTTATCATGATTCGAGTACATAATATAATTTTGATATTTTTGTCATAAATTTGCCTGAATATCCCTTTAATTTATTGGTTTGAATTTAAACCCCTCTGGATAATGCTAGGTATTCCAATAAATGGTTATCGAATAGTAGTAATAACAACAACCTCAAACTTTTCACAAGCTAGCTTTCAATTTTTTTTAATGAAGGGTTTAAGCCATCAGTTGTGAATTTCTCAGTTTATTTTAACAATTTTCATTCAGATTTAAATGGAATTTGTATAGGACTGTATTATGATAATGAATGCTTTGACATGTTCCCTCCAGGCATAAAAACAAGACAACATGTTTATTTTGTCATGTTAAAGGTCATATAGCAACTTAACAGTTTTACATGTTGAGGAGAAACTAGGCTGGCTCTTCATTAATTATTTCAGGTACAAGTGAGCATGTGTGGAACCACTGACCTTACGTAACATTACTACATGTCTCCCCTCAAGAAATATATTATAAATTAACCTGCCAGAACCAGGAGTTATTAGCCTTTGCCACCAGTACACAGCTAGGCCAGCCTATATCAGTGTAGTCATTCTATATACGTTATGATTAACTCGAGATTTTCATTTTTATATCCCCAACTTATTAATGAACAGTTTCAAAAAAAGCTATTTAAGAAATTCAGCAGGTTAAACTATACATGCAACATAATTTTACATTATTTTGTTATCAAATATATATTTAAACAATACCTGTTCCTGTACAGGATCCATAGAGTTTGTAGTTCCACAACCGAACAATTCCCTTCGTAATAAGTTACCATCGTATTCCAGGAAAGTCAGGTATAAGTTTCGGAAATACTCTATATGTTTGTTCTTTACCTTCAACTTCTTTGGTGAATTCCAGTGAATTATCTGAAGTAAAATAAAATATAAATTTATTTCTTGTCATTTATATCTAAACACTTTTGGGAATGTGTACAGCCTGTAAACACCAAATTGGGAAATCATAAAAATTGGTTAAATATGGGAAATGAGTCTCCAAAAATTACAGAGAAAATCCCAACAGGTTACATGTATGTTATGTATTGTAATGTATATGCCTCCCTTATGAAAATTTAGTCAACTAACAAACTAGACCGGACTAATTTCATGTATTACATAATTACATTTCATTGATAACATCAGAGTATACGTGAACTGTACAAACCTTTAAATCTGTGACTTCAGAATAACAATGTTCACTTCTTGTATTATCACTTAACTGAACATTCCACTGACATGGTAACGTCTTCACTAGATGAGGATTCTTCTTTAATACTGTGTTTATAATATCCTAAAATATATACTCTGTAGCTTAATTATATACAAACAAGAGCTGTCGGTAGGACAGCAACGCTCGACTATTCTTAGTGCTTGATAGTAAAAAAAATGCTTGATAGAGTTACCTCCTCCTGTTTACAGGTTGGGGTCATGATGGTGAACAAGTGTGCAAAGTTTCAAAGCCATATGTCAATGGACTTTGAAAATATTTGAACTATTACAAAAACTTTAAGGTAAATTCTAAGTCGAAAAAGGGGCATAATTCTGTCAAAATGCTTGATAGAGTTACCTCCTCCTGTTTACAGGTTGGGGTCATGATGGTGAACAAGTGTGCAAAGTTTCAAAGCCATATGTCAATGGACTTTGAAAATATTTGAACTATTACAAAAACTTTAACATAAATTCTAAGTCGAAAAAGGGGCATAATTCTGTCAAAATGCTTGATAGAGTTACCTCCTCCTGTTTCCAGGTTGGGGTCATGATGGTGAACAAGTGTGTAAAGTTTCAAAGCCATATGTCAATGGACTTTGAAAATATTTGAACTATTACAAAAACTTTAACGTAAATTCTAAGTCGAAAAAGGGGCATAATTCTGTCAAAATGCTTGATAGAGTTACCTCCTCCTGTTTACAGGTTGGGGTCATGATGGTGAACAAGTGTGCAAAGTTTCAAAGCCATATGTCAATGGACTTTGAAAATATTTGAACTATTACAAAAACTTTAAGGTAAATTCTAAGTCGAAAAAGGGGCATAATTCTGTCAAAATGCTTGATAGAGTTACCTCCTCCTATATACAGGTTGGGGTCATGATGGTGAACAAGTGTGCAAAGTTTCAAAGCCATATGTCTATGGACCTTGAAAATATTTGAACTATTACAAAAACTTTAACATAAGTGGTTACGCCGACGCCGACGCTCGGGTGACTGCAATAGCTCTACTTATTCTTATCGAATAGTCGAGCTAAAAATTAACAACTTAAGGATACTTATTTCACTAGTAAAATCAGTCTAATATTTTCGTTAGAATTTAGACCAATGACAAATAGTTTAATATTACACTGCATATGTATTTATACACATTTATAACACTAAAAATACATATATATTTTTATAAAATATATAAAAGAGTTGGGGGGAAGCAGGCCTCGACATTAGCGGTGGTCCGTTGGTCCGAGACCACCTGATTTTGGCAAGGACCACCTAATTTTGAAAGCCACTGGTCCGTCGGACCACTTGAATTTTCTGGTTGGTGCAAGAATGGCGATTTGGACAAAAAAAAACATGTTATAAACTTTTTGTTTAAAATCATTTGTCCTATGTTCATGTTTATGGTTCATTAATCTCTGATTAGCTAAAGAAGTTTTTAAGTCATCAATAATTTTCATTTTAAGTCGCTTAAATTTTGTTTATGCAAGTTAAAAGAGTTAAGAATTTGTGATATTAAATTTTGTAAAAAATTCATTCCAACCATGCTAATAAATATGATATTGTTTGGGATATCGGATGAAGTGAACTAAAATTTCAAATACTTTAATCATGGCAGCAAAAAAAAAGAAATATATCTAGTAATTCTTTGTTTCTTATCTTTTATAATGATAAGAGATCCATTGTTTCCAGAGTAAAAAATACTTTAAAAGGTAAAAAGAAATCAATGTCAAAAATAGATGAAAAACCAACAAGCAACAGGGAGGTAAAAATTCTGTATTCAAGATAAATATGTGAGAAAAATAAGAAAAACTATAGTTATATATAATGTTGGTATTTTTTATCCTTTAGATATTTCCTTGTTTTCAAAAACAAGAATAAGATAATATATTTGATCTAGTTTTATTAAAAATGTTAACCTATAAATGATAATTATCATGTTAGAAGACGTACCATGTATCGGCAATGGATATTTGAATAACAGTAAGAAAATATCGGACACAAATGGTTTCACTATTCCCTAACTTGTGTTGAGGGAGAAATTACGGAAGCTTATCAGGGCATCCACTTATCTAAAAGTTTAACGTCATGTTAACTTGTTTCTTCTCGTTTTGGCCAAGAACAATCCTTGAAGACGTTATGATTAATACGTAATACATAGAAGTGTTTATCATTGCAAAAAAACTTTGTTGAATTATGTGAGCTATTTGTCAACGCGAGTAACGTCTTTGCGTCTTACTAAATATTTCAGCAAAGTCGTGAAATCAAGAAGTTTCGACAGGTTTTTTTGTCGAACAGACAAAAGCTGCAAGCATATCGAAAACAAATGCAGTTGCAATGCCTAAAAGCTTCTCATCTATGTCAGTAAATTTTATTGAGAAATGCAAAAATATCTTATCAACGCGAATAAAAATAAGTCGACTTAGAGCAAATCATCTCACCAACTGTATGCCCTGATACGCTTCCGTAGTTTTCTTTAAAGGTTAATAATACATCTTTAATAATTTGTCAACAATTTTCAGCATATTTTTTCTAAATTTGCAGTAAAATAAGATAATAATAACAATTGACCACCTGATGTCTTGAAGGACCACCTAAATTTCAAATCTAGTGGTCCGGCTTACCACCTGCTTAAAAAGTTAGTGTCGAGACCTGGGGGAAGGGATGTGGTTTTCATGAGGCTATTATACAACAAATTAGCAATATTTAGATGAAAATGTCATACTTTTGACATGCGCTTTTCTATCCAGTTCAATAAAATATTGTTTACTACATGCTGAATTACTGGCAATGCAAAACTTCTGAAATATACCTTGTCAACAAGTGAGGTAACTAAAGGGTTATATACCTGGTCAGCCAGCGAGGTAGCTAACATGGTTATATACCTGGTCAACAAATGAGGTAACTAAAGGGTTATATACCTGGTCAGCCAGTGAGGTAGCTAACATAGTTATATACCTGGTCAGCCAGTGAGGTAGCTAACATAGTTATATACCTGGTCAGCCAGCGAGGTAGCTAACATGGTTATATACCTGGTCAACGAGTGAGGTAACTGAAGGGTTATATACCTGGTCAGCCAGTGAGGTAGCTAACATAGTTATATACCTGGTCAGCCAGTGAGGTAACTAACATGGTTATATACCTGGTCGGCAAGTGAGGTAGCTAACATGGTTATATACCTGGTCGGCCAGTGAGGTAGCTAACATGGTTATATACCTGGTCGGCCAGTGAGGTAGCTAACATGGTTATATACCTGGTCGGCCAGTGAGGTAGCTAACATGGTTATATACCTGGTCGGCAAGTGAAGTAGCTAACATGGTTATATACCTGGTCGGCCAGTGAGGTAGCTAACATGGTTATATACCTGGTCGGCAAGTGAAGTAGCTAACATGGTTTTATACCTGGTCGGCCAGTGAGGTAGCTAACATGGTTATATACCTGGTCGGCCAGTGAGGTAGCTAACATGGTTAAATACCTTGACGGCCAGTGAGGTAGCTAACATGGTTATATACCTGGTCGGCCAGTGAGGTAGCTAACATGGTTATATACCTGGTCGGACAGTGAGGTAGCTAACATGGTTATATACCTGGTCGGCCAGTGAGGTATCTAACATGGTTAAATACCTGGTCGGCCAGTGAGGTAGCTAACATGGTTATATACCTGGTCGGCCAGTAAGGTAGCTAACATGGTTATATACCTGGTCGGCCAGTGAGGTAGCTAACATGGTTATATATCTGGTCAGCCAGTGAGGTAGCTAACATGGTTATATACCTGGTCAGTCAGCTAGATAGCTAACATGGTTATATACCTGGTCAGCCAGTGAGGTAGCTAACATAGTCATCAGTTCTTTCTCTGCAACTTGTCTCCACATTGTCATCCAATCAATGTCACGTAACATCTTCAAGTTCATTAACATAACACCAGTGTTGAATCCTCGACCCTAAAACGTAAATTACTAGTATTAACACAACATTTATATAGATCTTTATATATAAAATCTAAACATACATTTTTTCTATTAGAATTATAATGTAGATATCCCAGACTTGTGTCAAAAAGGCCATTTTACTTTTTCATGTAGTTGTCTATGTTAATAATGACAATCTCCTTTAAAAACAAGAGCTGTCGGTAGGACAGCACGCTCGACTATTCTAAGTGTTTAATAGTAAAAGAGCCTGGATAATGTTAAATTTTTTAAGTTCACAAAAGGGCTAATTTTTTTTTTATAAATTCATGTTATAGGCCTTAGAGAGAATCTAATTATACAGAATTGGCTTGACTATTCGGAAGGTAATGTCACAAGGGTGTTTTATTGAGTATAATAATACTAATTACCTATGAATACATAAATTTGACAGAAAAGGTACAAAGGCTTGTTATTAAGATGTTTTATCAAGTAAATCACTGCTTAATTATTATGAATGCATAAAATTGTCCCAAAAAGGGCACAAACCCTTCAGTAGTTATTGAGCAAAACTTTACCATGAACTTCTAAGTTGAAAAGGGGGAGAAAAATCAGCCTAAATGCAAGATAGAATTATGGATTTTTGTCAGTGACCTACAATTATGACCCTAAATGCATATGTGAAGTTTTAAATAAATATCTTTAATAGTTATTGAGATATGTAAAATTTGCATGTAAACATTAACCAAGAGACTAAGTAGAAAAGGGGATATGAATCAGCCTTAATGCAAGATAGAGTTGTGGAACTTGGTCAGTGACATACAATTATGACCCTCCAATTATGACCCTGAGTGCATGTGTAAAGTTTCAAGTAAATATCTTTGAAGACCTTTAACCTTTAACCAAAATTTCTAAGTTTCAAAGGGGCAAATAATTCTGCAAATATTGCAGGCAGAGTTATGCAATTTTGCAAACTGATGTACATTGTTACTATAAAAAAGCATTTTAAATTTCAATTGAATATCTCAAGCAATTATTGAGATATTTGACTTTACAAAAAAACTTTAACCAAAATTTCTAAGTTAAAAACGGGCATAATTCTGTCAATATTGTAGGCAGAGTTATCCAACTTGTCAATCTGATGTACCTTGTCACTGTAAATAAGTATTGTAAGTTTCAATTGAATATCTCAAGCAATAATTGAGATATTTGACTTTACAAAAAACTTTAACCAAAATTTCTAAGTTAAAAAGGGGCATAATTCTGTCAATATTGTAGGCAGAGTTATCCAACTTGTCAATCTGATGTACCTTGTTACTTTAAATAAGTATTGTAAGTTTCAATTGAATATCTCAAGCAATAATTGAGATATTTGACTTTACAAAAAACTTTAACCAAAATTTCTAAGTTAAAAAGGGGCATAATTCTGTCAATATTGTAGGCAGAGTTATCCAACTTGTCAATCTGATGTACCTTGTTACTATAAATAAGTATTGTAAGTTTCAATTGAATATCTCAAGTAATAATTGAGATATTTGACTTTACAAAAAACTTTAACCAACGCAGACGCCGACGCGGACGCTGACGCCGACGCCGACGCCGGGGCGACTAGAATAGCTCTCATATTCTTCGAATAGTCGAGCTAAAAATACAGGCATGATATGATACGAAAAAAAAGAAGATATATATGAGAACAGCCAATATTTATGTTTTCTTAACCTTGCATTACTATTGATCTGCTACTTACTAGTGCTGGCCACACTTGATGATTTTTCCAGATTTTACCCAGGTACCAGTCACTCTGGTTCTCTACAAGTCCAAGAGCCTATAAACAACAAAAACATACCAGTCTATATAATACAGTATTTACAGAAAGAATCTTCAACTGGATACTAGAGAGGAAATTGCCTTTGTTTGGGTTTAAAGGCAAATTAATACATAACTGGTCAAATAGTATCAAACATTTTAGCTTACACTGCCAAAAAAGAACATACACTATCAAACCAGGCTGGCAACAATTTCAATCTTGCTGTGTCAGGTCACCTTTAAGTTTCCAATATTTACTATTTCAAAGGTGGCTTGATAGCTCCCTCTATTGAAAGAATCTAAAGTCTTCTGAAGAACCCACACAACACAGAAAATGATTTACAGTCGGTGAACTCAACCAGACAGCCATGGAACAACTGTCATATGTTAAAACATATTAAGTATAATTATTAGTCTAGTTGAAGAGAACATGGTGTTTCTATATTATATAATTAATGTATCAGTACAATAAGTTTACAATATGCAGCATTAATTACAATTTACTGCAGCCATTACCTCTTTTGCTAGCACTGTAAATAGTTTCCACAACTCGGCAATATCAGAGGCAAAAGTGATATCTGTGTCCAGCACTATCACCTGGAAATAACGTAATCTATGTAAATCTCCACAAATTATATCAAATGATTAAGACTTTAATGACTTTGCCAAACAAATCAAAGTAATGTTTGCTGGCATATCAAATGACACATTCTTTATATCTGTTTTTTCTTTTTGTTTTGTTTATTTGTTAGTTTTGTTGGGTTTTTAGTCACACCAACACTATAAAGGTCAATAGACATCTTTCCAGTTTTATTCGTGGAGGAAGAACTCAAGTGTTCCTTCTTGCATTATTTCAGGCACAGGCCAGTACCTCAGTACAACCACCAACCTTCCACAAGCTACCTGTATAGCTCCCTCAAATGGAAGAATCCAAAGTTCCTAATGAGATTCGAACACACAGTGATGAGGAGAAAGTGATGATTTTTGTATTCTTAATCACAAGGCCATGGAGGCCCCTCTGAACATTTTGTTTTCAAATTAAAAGCAGTATTGTAAAATACATAGATAATCATTGTTTATTCTTGATGATTTCCTTTACAATATCAACATAACTTTTGTATAAAGCATATTTCAAATCAAATCTAGGGTTTATTCTCTGACAATATATAAACATACATCAGCAGTGTATTTCTTTCTTATAACTGATATACAAATAGTGTTGCTTCTACAAAAAAAACAAATTAAAAGAATTGAACCTACTTTCTGTAGATGTTCTGGAAGTATCTTTGGCAGTACAAGTTTCATTAGACCAAATATCCCAGAGTAGTGTTTATTAGGAATCCATTCAATATCTTGTGTTACATTGGCTGCTGGATAAAAACTCCACTCCACTGTAATACATAAACAACATGAGTGCCATTGTCACAAAATACTCAAATAATAAAATATTCTATCTGACATTTAACCTGTGTGACCTTGATCTTGGCCACAGGAACATAAACTTTGCATTTGACACTCTGCCTAATATTAATAAGAATTTGAGCTATGTTATACTGGTACTAAAATTCCTCATTGCTTACAAGTAGAAGTTTTGCTCCAAAGTGAGTCCAAACAAGCATTTTTCTCTGACCTCTTACCTAGAGACCTGCTTAAAATGTGAGACACTATGTCACATGGTGATGAACATTTGTATCAAGTAATACAAAATCCACACAGAAATGTAGAAGATATCACACCAACAAAACTAAATGCTGAAGCTCGCCCTTCAGGGGCTATCCCATATTTCAACCAGTTTTTTAAGTGTGTATTCAACATATAAATGTATTTCCACATAAATATATATTTTTTTCATTATACATTCATGTACATTTAAACTTGCTTTAAATAACCTGCACAATAATTTTGTCAATACAACATTATAAATTTGAGATAATTCTTTAGAAAAAATATGCTTTAAAAAAATACATGGACAATTAACAAATTAAAAATCATGATAGTTACTTACTCTCGTTTAAATGCCAGGTTTTAAACAGTGCATCTAAAATAATTTGAGCAGCTTTGTCCACAATGAAATGAAAATGCAGCGGGTTTTTCCGATAGAAAAGCACACTCTTCAGTAACGTGACAATATCTCTAGTTGCATTATGTCCCGCACAAACTGTTGCTACATGAATAACCTGAAATATATACAATAATGTGCACATGTATCTTGATGTACTAATTCCAAGTGATGAGAAAACTGTGCAGCCTGACCAGGACACAAATCCAGACAGCTAAAAAAACAACAACAATTTCCCGGCTCTATCAACTGAGCTACACTGTAGCCTGCTGCTTAAACATCTAAGACTCTTGTATACTTTAGTCAGCAATATTTACCATAACAATTACAATTAAGTATTTCAAACTATTCTTGTATATATCTCCTCATTGTCATATACTGATATAGCACTTTTTTTTATTCTTCAATACATGTATATCAGTTCCAATTTGCTGAAAAAAATATATAAAAATTGTGTTTGAATGGTTTCAATTCTGTACTAATGATAAGCTTTAAGGTTCAAAATGTAAAGGAAACCTACAGGCCCCTCCATAAATCATTTAAGATAGAATTCAAGGTCCTTTAAGGGATTTAAACTTACAACAGTAAAGGGAAAGTGTTTTAAAATCATTTACTTCTGAGCCCCTCCCCCCCCCCTCCCACACACACACACCAACCCCAGCATTACACATGTACAGAAAAATCTTTTTAAACATTTAATATTCTTACCTCACACTTGGGCATATCAGACTGCTGATTAAAACAATCTAATCTTGTTCTGTTAGATTTTGTATTAGACTCGTTTTGTAATGCCACTGCCATCTGCATGTTTAAATACTGATTTCTAGACTTGCTGCAAAATAAATAACATTAAATTAAAAATACAAAACTCATTTTCATTAAATCAACTAAATTAGAAAATTCAATGATATCTTATCAACACTAAAGAAGTTTACATAAATGCCCTTTGTAAGAAATTATCAAAATCTTCAACATTTGTTCATTTACTTAACATTGTATAAATTATACAATGAATAACTTCTCAAATATAGAATAATTTAAAGTAAGAAGTTATAAATAATCAAATATTATCTACCTAAGTTTCTTTTGCAGGTATTGGTTCTGTTTTTCCAACTCTCTAATCTTACTAGCTAATTTAGCTTCCAGTCTTCCTAAACCTTCCTCTGAACTGAACTCACTTACTGTGCCTTTACCCAAAAAAATACAATAGAAATATTGACATTTTATATCCTCCCACCAAATATTTTACCAAATAATACATGTCAGTATCTGTAAGCAACACTACCAAATAATTAATGTGAGGTCATTACATTTATTTTAAACACCCTTTATTGTGATTAACAACAAGATTTAGCAAAACATCTGGGATTAACACGACCCCTTCAAACTGTGTTACACATGTATGTCTTTAAAAGTGACCTAAAATTATGATATGATAGCTGTGTGTAAGATTTCAAATGAATAAAATCAGTAGATAATTTCATGTAGTAAATATGATTCTACGAAATCAGTAGTTAATGAGATATGAAATTACATGTACATGCAAAACATTAACCTAGTGTTACAACAACGGCACAGCAAGTAGGATAGCCTGATCCTTGAATGTCTGTTGATTCTTGTATATGTTGTGTAACCACTTTTATTGAAATAGTCAGACATAAAGCAAAAATAAATAAAATATCACAAATAAATATCAAAAATATCTCACCATCAGTATTTATAGCTAGATATACTAGAGTAAGAACTGGGAAAGCTCCAAATATCACAAGAAACATCAGTGTACTTCTCTTTAACCTTATCATATTTTCTACCATGCACCTTGTCTAAGTGTGGATATGCGCTATCTCTAAGTCCTCCAGGAAGTTACTAGAAAAATAAACACAACAAGAACTGTCGGAGGACAGTAACGCTCGACTATTCGAAAAGTTGTCACAAGTGTGTTTCATTGAGTATAATAATGCTTATCTATATGAATACATAAAATTGTCCGAAAAGGTACAAGTAATAGAAAGAGCATCAAAACACGAGGCTATCGGATTTGTACAAGGGGGCATAGCAGATTGTCGAGTGTTTTGATGTTCTTTCTCTTTTGTATCATTAGACATAGTCAAAAATAAAAACACGTTCCCTGATGACACAATATGAAACCCCAGAAAAAAGGAACAAATGAACGAGCATCTGAATATGATATTTCTATCACTTTCCCTATCCCCGTCGTCACAATATGTAAACCCCAGACAAAATGAACCAATCAATGGGCATGCTCTGCAGTGCAGTGCAGTTAACGCACTGTACATGTATATGTATACGATTTAACTCTGACACATTTTCAACAGTAAGGTCCCCAAACTATGATACAAAGGCTTGTTATTAAGATGTTTTATTGAGTTAATCACTGCTTTATTATTATAACTGCATAAAATTGTTTCAAAAAAACGCACAAACCCTATAGTAGTTATGGAGATATTTGCTTACATGCAAAAACTTAACCAAGAATTTCTAAGTCGAAAAAGGGGCATAATTATACTTAAAAACAAAAATCAGAATTATGGGACTTGTGCCAATCATGTTAGATAATCACAGAGAACAAGTGTGTGAAGTTTCAATCCATTCCCTTCAGTAGTTATGGAGATACCAGCTTGCACCTAAAAACTTAACCACAGGGACGCCGACAAATGGGTGACTGCATTAGCTTGATTATTCTGTGAATAGTCAAGCTAACAAGAGCTGTCGGTAGGACAGCAACGCTCGACTATTCTTAGTGCTTGATAGTAAATAAAATGCTTGATACAGTTACCTCCTCCTGTTTACAGGTTGGGGTCATGATGGTGAACAAGTGTGCAAAGTTTCAAAGCCATATGTCAATGGACTTTGAAAATATTTGAACTATTACAAAAACTTTAACGTAAATTCTAAGTCGAAAAAGGGGCATAATTCTGTCAAAATGCTTGATAGAGTTTCCTCCTCTTGTCTACAGGTTGGGGTAATGATGGTGAACAAGTGTGCAAAGTTTCAAAGCCATATGTCAATGGACTTTGAAAATATTTGAACTATTACAAAAACTTTAACATAAATTCAAGTCGAAAAAGGGGCATAATTCTGTCAAAATGCTTGATAGAGTTACCTCCTCCTGTCTACAGGTTGGGGTCATGGTGGCGAACAAATGTGCAAAGTTTCAAAGCCATATGTCTATGGACTTTGAAAATATTTGAACTATTACAAAAACTTTAACATAAGTGGTTACGCCGACGCGGACGCGGACGCCGACGCTCGGGTGACTGCAATAGCTCTACTTATTCTTATCGAATAGTCGAGCTAAAAATTGTCAGATGAAATGGGATAATTACACTGGAATAGAAAGGAAAGGCACAAACAAGAAAATAGTCCATTCAAATTCATTACGTATAGTAATTAATAGAAATAAGTGTCGGCGAAAACTTGATGCTTTTTGGAGAGTCCAATCAATCCCACGAGCTGTCATTCACGACCGGAAATGATGCCACAAAAATATGAGAACCCAAGAAAATATGAGAACAAGGCATACAGTCTACTTCATGTATTTGCAAGAAAGATACAAGTTAAAATATATAGGCTCCCAAGGGGTGGGAGTGGTTTTGTCGAACTACCAGTTCGTCAAACTGATCTTATATAATAAAACAGGTAGTGGTGTCGGCGAACTTAATTTATATAGTGAACAATAGCTATTGTATAATGGGCACGTCAATTATCGCGGGTCTTAATGTGTGGTTTATCACACATTTTCATGCAATTAAAGACAAGATATTGAAAATTTAAACCTATTATTATTAATAATTATAGAATAAAATCGACATATATACAGAGAAAAAAAATAAAGCTTGAAAGTTTTATGATAAGTGTTAACTGATCGGCTGATAAGACAAACAAACTTTCTCTGTCATCAATTATAAACAATTGATTTATTTTGTAAACCAAGCCCTAACTAAACAATTAATTTTGCAAACAAAATAATATTGTTTTTTTTTTTTGTAATTTATTCTTGACTCAAAAATAATTTATCAAATAACGAAAAAATCATTATCAAAATAAGTATAATAAACATACTTCTACAATATAATATATTCATTAATGATATTTGCGTCATAATTTAATTATAACAAAATATTGATGATAAAAACACTATATATATGAACCACATATACCGTGCCTTTAATTACTATATAACATCAGTTCGACGAAACCACTTTCGCACCTCTTCATTAATTAAGTTCGCCAAACCGGTAATTCGATGAAACCACCATAATTCGCTCCCAAGAAGTGTACAGTGTCACTGTCAGAGATCGGAAGTAACGTGCTTGTACTCGCGAGACAGGTTACATATTGAATTGTATAGCTAGGCTCACAAGACGGTGTACAGTGATTTCTTTTAAACTGGTTTATACTGTTTGAGGACAATGTTTTCAGTGTTCATCTATCAACATTGATTTCAAGAAATTATTTTTTTCTTCTCATATTTTGGCTATATTTTGTGAAAAGCACATATAAAATTTTACCGAAGCTTTTTATGTAACTAACTAAGACAACTGATAAATATTGATCACTTGCTGCAATGCACACAAACGTATAATTAAATTCTTACCCAGCTGAAAACCATCATACATGGAATACTCTTCATTAAAAGAAAGAAGTTTTTAACATCAATCATTAGTTACAGACATTCCAATTGGTGATTTATCTTTATATTGTCCAATCACAGATAGCGTAACAAATTGTGGTTCGGATGAAGTGACAAAATGGCAGCTGACACTACTGAATGGAAAATAAAGACACTAATACAAGATTTAAAAGATCAATATTCGAAGACAGTGAGAAATAATCCTGACACAGTAGCTCAGATTGAATCAGCTGTCAGAATTTTGTCTTTTCTTGTCGCAGGTATATTAAATATGTTCTTAAAACTCGTTTTGTCACGCCTACTTTTGGTTTGAAAAAAAAAACACGTTTTGTAAAATAAGTTTGTTCCATGATATTAATTAAATATTCGTTTTACAAATGTCACTCGAACTTCACAAATATATAATAATCTTTAAAATAGATTATACAGGAGAAAATCTTCTTACAGCGTCCTAGATTTTGAACCTAACCTTGCAGCCCTGGCATGGTCTTTAGCGGGCAGCACGAAACACCCAAATATACCCAAATACACCCAAATATTGCCCAAATATACCCAAATATTGCCTAATTATACCCAAATATTGCCTAATTATACTAAAAATAAATGTTTTATCCTAAAAAAGTGCTGTTTTTATCATGAATACAATATACATTTTCACTAAGATACATTGTATAATCAACCATACCCAAATATACATTTCCCTATCATTGTGTTTTGAACCAAAATACAGTCTATATGTACACCATTAAAGCTATTTTTTTTAAATAACATGGACACTTGTATATGATATGAAATTTCAACAAAATTACATCTTAAAAATGTAAGTGTAGACAACAAATATCATATCTTGATTTAAAATTGCAAGTAGTCTACATTCATAAAAAACCTATATATAGTACTAAGATAAGCAAATGTCACAACTTTATTTTCTTACAACATCGTAACTGTCCATTTCAACGGAATGAATGAAAATTATAACAGGCTAAGTCATATTATATTTAATAAATATTTATTTATTTCTCATTATAATCTATATTTTATACAAACAAAAATAAATATTGCTATATTTGGGTGCATTTGGGTATATTTGGGTATTTCGTGCCGCCGTCTTTAGCCCAACTCTGGCTTTCCACATATTATGTACTAATTGATGTAACTTAAGAACATACTTTTTTAAAAAAAGAGCTAATGATGATATGAAATTAGGTGCTATTCTATGGCAGGGAAAGGCTCTTATGAGTTAATAACTATAGCATCACATTTTCATAATGTAAACCAGATCTTTCTTGCACTTTGTAAATATAGTAATTTGTACGGTAAACAGTAACTGAAGTACTACCAGAAGTGGGATTTGGCATGTCTTCTAGCTATTAACAGTCTGCTTTATGTATGATCACTTTTTCGGTTCCATCCCCTATCGAAAAGATACATCAGGGGGGTGCCAGAGGAGAATGTGCCCCATTCTGCTCAGAGTTTAAAGGGGGGCAGCAGCCCCCTCATTGCCAAGAAGATTTTGGACTTGTGAGAGGCTAAATTTGGCCTCAGATCGATCAGAAGGTAACATGTAACCAATGCTTAAAAGCCTTTGATTAACCAATGCTGAAAAGCCTTTGACTCTAATCTTAATCAATTGGGAAGTTGCAGCACTTTGAAATCAGTTTTGATGGAAAAAATCAATGCAAAATAGTGATTTTTTGGTAATTTTGAGATGTCCCCTCGTTGCCATGGTAACAGGAAATTTAAGATTGAGCATGCTGTTACAAATGCTATGGTCCAGTCAACATTTGTGCCAAGTTTGATGAATACTGAAGTATCTTTTACAGTTTCATAGCAATTTGAACTTAATTGTAGCTGCAGGTTATTATTTTTTTTGAAAAGCTACTCTCCCACACAAAACGGGTCTTAAAACATCAACATGTCTATTTACATTTATTAGATATGCATTGAAGTAAATTTGCAGTTGTGACCTAAAGTTGATATGTTATTATCAGCTCCGTTAACATGTAGCGAGTAGGACAGACTATAATAAGGACAGCTTTATGCAAGTAGAACTTACTTTATAAATGTCAGTTTTAAACTGGATTATCAAAGATGTGTTCTTCTTGGCTCTTCTTAAAGGGACTCCACTGAGGTTTTTTGACATGACGGGACTGGAAATAATTTTTTGAGATTATTACTCCATTTGATGTAGACTTATAACTTATGTGCAAAATTTCAGATCATTAGCTTGCTCCGTTTTTCCAGAATAATTATTATAATAGTGAAAAATGACCCAAAATTGAAAAGCGTTTAAATGCCTTTCACTCAAATCGGACTCGGAATAGCACAAACATATGATTTTCAATGTATTTCTTCTATATTTTTGGTTATATTTTATTAATATTTATGTTTTAAGTGCTAATGTTTATCTATGTGAAAAATTAAAATTTCATGTTTTTAGGCTTATAAACCTTAGTGGAGTTCCTTTAATAAACATAATTTTCTAATATGAAATTAGGCAAAGCCTATGAAAGGGGAAGTCGATTGAATTTTTATTTTACATTTTCTGTTTTAAAAGTGTCATTCAGTATTTCATGCACTGCTTCCGTTTTCACTCAGAACACTTGGATTATTATTATTCATCCGCAAAGTAAGATGTTTTATTGTCGGATTATCATTAAGTTACATTGAAAATGGCAGGACCCAACTAAAACTGACTGAAAATTTCATTGATATGCATTGAGTTCTATATATTATTTAATTGTTTTTTATTTGATTTTTCTTAAAATATACGCAGTCTTCGAAATTAACGCCAGTCCGAGGCCCGAGGCCACTAAATTTAGCATCGGTCCGGTGATTATAGCAAGGTTGGTGGTCCGACGGACCAGTAGATTTTTTGTCATGAAAAAATATTATAAGAAAAATTCATCAAAATAATGAAGCAGGGTTCTCTAAAAGATTGATCTTTTTGCCTTTTTTGCAAATGAAACCCATCAATTCTGTCCTAAATGTTCAAAACACAGCGAGAGATGTCTAAATTGTATTTAGTCATGGAGGCCGCCATTTTTTAGCTCACCTTGCACAAAGTGCAGGTGAGCTTTTAGGATGGCCAACCAAATGGCGTCCGTCGTCTGTCGTCCGTCCACATTTTAAATATTCTAAGGACATCTTCTATGATACCGCAAGGCCAATGTTAATGAAACTTGGCAGGAATACTCTTTGTATGAAGCTCTATCAAGATTGTTCAAAGAATTCCATTTCATGCAGAACTCTGGTTGCCATGGCAACCGAAAGAAAAATCTTTAAATATCTTCTTTTAAAGAACCGTAAGAGCTAGAGCTTAGATCTTTGGCATGAAACATCTTCTAATGAGTGTCTACCAAGTTTGTTCAAATAAAAGCCCTGGGGTCAAAATTGGCCCCGCCCCAGGGGGTCATTGATTTCCCTATATGCATATAGTAAAAACTTAAAAAATCTTCTTTTAAAGAACCCAAAGAGCTAGAGCTAAGATATTTGGCATGAAACATCTTCTAGTGAGTGTCTACCAAGTTTGTTCAAATAAAAGCCCTGGGGTCAAAATTGGCCCCGCCCGGGGGGGTCATTGATTTTCCCTATATGCATATAGTAAAAACTTAAAAAATCTTCTTTTAAAGAACTGTAAAAGCTAGAGCTTAGATATTTGGCATGAAACATCTTCTAGTGAATGTCTACCAAGTTTGTTCAAATAAAAGCCCTGGGGTCAAAATTGGCCCCGTCCCAGGGGGTCATAGATTTTCCCTATATGCATATAGTAAAAACTTAAAAAATCTTCTTTTAAAGAACCCAAAGAGCTAGAGCTAAGATATTTAGCATGAAACATCTTCTAATGAGTGTCTACCAAGTTTGTTCAAATAAAAGCCCTGGGGTCAAAATTGGCCCCGCCCCAGGGGGTCATTGATTTTCCCTATATGCATATAGTAAAAACTTAAAAAATCTTCTTTTAAAGAACTCAAAGAGCTAGAGCTAAGATATTTAGCATGAAACATGTTCTAATGGGTGTCTACCAAGTATGTTCAAATAAAAGCCCTGGGGTCAAAACTGGCCCCGCCCCGGGGGTCATTGATTTTCCTTATATGTGTATAGCAAAAACTTAAAAATCTTCTTTGAAAAAACCCAAATAGCTTGAGTTTAGATATTATACATGAAACATCTTTAAGTAAATATCTACAAAGTTTGTTCAAATAAAAGCCCGGTGGTCAAAACTGGCCCTGCCCCAGGGGTGTCATTGTTTTTAACTATATGTGTACAGTAAAAACTTAAAAAATCTTCTTTTAAAAACCCAATGAGCTAGAACTTAGATGTTTAGCATGAAACATCTTCTTATGGGTGTCTACCAAGTCTGTTCAAATAAAAGCCCTTGGGTAAAAATTGGCCCGGGGGGGGGGGGGCTATATACAGGTGAGCGACCTCAGGGCCATCATGGCCCTCTTGTTTCTTGGATATTTTCCGTTCCGCACCGTACACTTACGGAAATTAAACCATTGTTTATTATGGTCATTATTTAGCTATGATTTTGTGATTATTGAGTTAAGTAAATATTTTGTATGAAAGTGATTTGTTTGAAGCAAATTGCGTTGTTCATGTTCAATTCTAGTCAATTTTATTTTGCCTAAACATTTGGTTCTTAAAGATTTTTCTAAGCTGTCAATATATGGCCAAGAATACAAGACGTATTATGCTTCTTTCAAAATTATCAAGGGAAGCATGATAAAGTGTTTTCCTGTTCCCATCAATTTATTATCTATCTCATAATGTATTTGGTCTGGCTAAAAATCACCAGGTCCAGTAAGATTTGATATTTTACTGGCCCGAATGTCCTGTGCTTTTTAAAGTTTTTCGTGAAGACTGTATACGGGCTTCGCGGTACCGATCTATGACTTCCCCTTATGAAATATAGCGTAGCTATCGACCTGCAACCAGTTAATGGGTGTGTTTATAATTCAAGTCCAAAAAATAATTTGACTTATTTGGTTAATTAAAGGCCTATATGTCAGGGGCTGATACATCTTTGGCATTTTGTGACAGAAAACTATTTTAATAATGACAAACTATCAATGTGACCAATCATGCTAAATGTTTCTTAAAATTAACAAGGAATTTAGCTATCATACAACATTGTCTCACCTTGAATGAGATTTTTTACAGAATTTTCACTTTAAGAGTGTATAAAAAATTGTTTTGTAAAGTATACTAAAATTCGTTATGGCAAAGTCAATTGAAAACTAGCTTTAACATTTTAATTCCTGAAAAATCACAGTGAACATTTAAGGGCCATCATAGATCTCATGTTTAATGTTAACATTCATACAATAACCAGTAAATTAAAATTATTATTTTCAGGTCGTTTTGAAAATGGAGAAATTCTTTCTGAATTGATATATTCAGCTTCCAATCTACTTGTCTTCTTAAATGACAGTGTCTTTAAAGCAGCTTCCAAATATGTTTCCAAAGTTGTGGTAAGGCATTATTTTCTAGAAAAAAAACAAGAGCTTAATTGAAGTATTAAAAGATATATACTAATAGCAAAATTTCTAGTCATCCATGATTCATCTTTTGCAAAAAATTTAATTAAATGCTGGATTTTAATATGTTTATATTAAAATATTTATACATTCATCATAAAAACAGGCTATTTAAAACTACATTTTGGGTTTGAATCCCAACAGGGACTTTGGATTCTTTCATGTGAGGAAGCTATTCAGCTAGCTTACGGAATGTTGATGGTTCTATTCAGATGCCTGCTTGTGCCTGAAATAATGCATGGAAAGGGAACATACGATCTTCCTCCACCAGTAAATCTGGAAAGTTGCCATATGACCAATACTGTGTTTATGTGATGTAAACCCAAACATAAAAAATAACAACAAAAAAACCATAGATCTGTTCGCTGTATTCTTAAAACTTGTTTGAATATGAGTGTTTTATGAAAGATATCTTACAAGAAAACATGAAAATTACATCAGAATACTTTATATATTATATTCTTCACAGAATGTAACAAAAGAAAAGATAAAGAGATGGCTTACAGTGTTAGAATATACAGAAGTGTTTCTGGAAATGGCTGCCAAGAAGAAATGGGGAACAAAAGGTGCATGGATCGTCATCACAATCATACAAATCATGAAGTAATTGTATTTGATATAACATAGTTCAATTTGTGACAAGAGACTGCTTGTGTGCCTATACTATATGTGTTGTGTAAGAGGTACTGGAGTGATAGATATTGCAGTAAGATTAAGTACTGAGTTGCTTTTCTTATAATTTATATAATTTAGTGTTAGATATGATGACAAAATGTCATGTCCAAGAAACAAGTCTCTTGCTCAAAGGGCAAGGTCATGCTGGTACATTCAAAGTTGTTACATGAATTTTTCACAAAAGTGAACAAACCGTGGTGTTGTGACACCATTTCTGTTTTTGCAGGATAGATTTTAAAAGAACTTGTCATAATTGACTTAGACATGTTGTATATACAAGAATCAAGTCTCCAGCTCATTGGTTAAGGTCACACTTATACAACCAAAGTCATAATATGATTGTAAATAGTCAAAGTCATTTGTTGATATATTTAGAAATGGTTATGTATTAATGTTTTGATCATTAAGCTGATATGTCTCACACAAATCCAAGGCTTGTAACTCAAGGCCTAAGGTCACACATAACTTGAAAGGTAATTTTTCATTAAAGTACAATGATGTTTGTGTCCTGAAAACAATCCTGTCTTTAATGGATGGATTTTAAAAAGAAACTTTACCTAAATGTCTTGCTTGTTAAAACAACATGTCACATGCAAGGATAAGGTTTCCAGCTAAAAGGTCATAGTTATATTTTTACGTCAAAAGTCATGATTGTGCATTGATGGTCTTATTTTGTGCATTACTTTATCATTTATTGATTGATTTTGAAATCACTAAGCATAATTTTGAGTTACATTTAGAAGGCTTGTCAGATGCAGTTTCCTTATTCTTATAACAGTCTTTTTATAGTAACTTTTGCTGTCTTTACTTGGCCCAGCTTGGCTGATTTTTTTATTATGCCCCCATTTCGAAGAAAAGGGGGTATATTGCTTTGCACTTGTCGGTCCGTCGGTCCGTAGACCAAATGGTTTCCGAGTGATAACTAAAGAACCCTTAGGCCTAGGAACTTCAAACTTGGTATGGTGATTGGTCATGACCAGTAGATGACCCCTATTGATTTTGGGGTCAAGGGGTCAAAGGTCAAGGTCACATTGACCTTGTAAGCAAAAACGGTTTCCGATCAATAACTAAAGAACTTTAAGGCTTAGGAACTTCAAACTTGGTATGGTGATTGATCATGATCAGTAGATGACCCCTATTGATTTTGGGGTCAAAGGTCAAGGTCACATTGACCTTGTTAGCAATAATGGTTTCCGATCAATAACTAAAGAACTTTAAGGTCTAGGAACTTCAAACTTGGTATGGTGATTGGTCATGATCAGTAGATGACCCCTATTGATTTTAGGGTTAAGGGGTCAAAGGTCAAGGTCACATTGACCTCTTGGGTAAAAACGGTTTCTGATCAATAACTAAAGAACCCTTAGGCCTAGGAACTTCAAACTTGGTATGGTGATTGGCATGACCAGCAGATAACCCCTATTGATTTTGGGGTTAATGGGTCAAAGGTCAAGGTCACATTGACCTTGTAGGTAAAAACGATTTCTGATCAATAACGAAAGAACCCTTAGGCCTAGGAACTTCAAACTTGGTATGGTGATTGGTCATGACCAGCAGATGACCCCTATTGATTTTGGGTTAAGGGGTCAAAGGTCAAGGTCACATTGACTTTGTAGGTAAAAAACGGTTTCCGATCAATAACTAAAGAACCCTTATGCCTAGGAACTTCAAACTTGGTATGGTGATTGGTCATGACCAGCAGATGACCCCTATTGATTTTGGGGTTAAGGGGTCAAAGGTCAAGGTCACATTGACCTTGTAGGTAAAAAACGGTTTCCTATCAATAACGAAAGAACCCTTAGGCCTAGGGACTTCAAACTTGATATGGTGATTGGTCATGATCAGTAGATGACCCCTATTGACTTTGGGGTCAAGGGGTCAAAGGTCAAGGTCACATTGACCTCTTAGGTAAAAACAGTTTCCGATCAATAACTAAAGAACCCTTAGGCCTAGGAACTTCAAACTTGGTATGATTATTGGTCATGACCAGTAGATGACCCCTATTGATATTGGGGTTAAGGGGTCAAAGGGCAAGGTCACATTGACCTTGTAGGTAAAAATGCTTTCAAATCAATAACTTAAGAACCCTTTGGCCTAGGAACTTCAAACATGGTATGGTGATTGGTCATGACCAGCAGATGGCCTATTGATTTTGGGGTCAAGGGGTCAAAGGTCAAGGTCACATTGACCTTGTATGTTAAAACGGTTTCCGATCAATTAACTCAAAACGCTTAGGCCTAGGAACTTCAAACTTTGTATGATGATTGGTCGTGACCAGCAGATGACCCCTATTGAGTTTTGGGTCAAGGGGTCAAAGGTTAAGGTCATGACCAGTAGATACTTGATAACCCTTATTAATTGTTTGATCACTGGGTCAGAAGTCATAATAACCTTATCACATGACTAATTGGCTGCTGATAGGGGGCATACATGTTTTACAAACATATCTTTTTTACATTGAATTTGACAGGTCTTGTTTGAATACTAATTTCTCTTTTTTATATAAATCAGTTTTGGGGATTAAATTCTATGTAGTTAAAGTAAACAAAATTCAATTAATCTGGCAAAAACATTCATTGCTCTAGTGATTTGAATGATAAACAAAATGGCCATGTCTAGATCTATACTTACATGTATTAGTCAGTTTGCTATTCTACTTTAATTTTTGGGTGTTGATAGCCACATATACACAACAAATAACTCCCCGCATGTATATCTTTTCTAACTTAATTTGAAGTTTATATTGATTTTCATCTGTAGGTAATAAGATCTGAAAGTTTATTCATCATTTGTATATCCAATAAAGTATTTCAGCCATACATTATGATATGTATCTTTTATAGTGGTCATGCTAAAAGTTAAACAATTGATTTTGTTTGTATTTTCAGAACTGCATTAAGATTTTATGTGTTGGTAAAATTAGATGGAGGTATTGGTAGTACTCCTGCTATACAACCTGTGGATAGAGAAATCCTAAAGACAGCAGAAGATGAACATGATGTAAGTATAACTATTTCATATTCTCTACTTATGTCTAACTATATATCTAAGAAGAAAAAGGAGTTTCTGTGGCCAAGTGGTTAGGTATCTGTTCTCCAATCACCCCGGCCCTCAGTGCTAATGATTCAAATACTGACTGCATCATGATTCCACCATGTGAGGAAGCAATAAAGATAGCTTATAAAACACCATCACATGACCTTTACAATGTTGATTTGATTTAAAACCCAACAAAAAAGAAGTAAATAGATTTTATGTCACATTCATTTACTTTTTCCTCTATGTTTTAAATAAATATTTTGGTATCTAAAGGTAAAAATACTGAATATAGCATGAAGTCCCCTACTATTTGAATTTAAAAGATATCAGTTTATTAATTCATTGTTTCTCTGTATCCAGCAATGTTAATGTTATACACGTACACACCATATTTATGGTATTGTGTGTGGAAAGAACTGGATATTGCAGGGGATAAAGTCTGTAATAGTGAGCATTTGTGTTTTATGACATATATATAAAACTATTTCAGAATCTGGAGGATGCCTGGGATGAGGAAGCAGCATACAGTGCCCAGGAAAAAACCTTCACCTTACAGAGCTCTGGTCGACAAATACGTACACTTCAAGCTGGTAAATATTTTAACTTGTATATTCTCCTATAGTATATATGTTATCTGTAGAATTATATACCTTAAAAGCTAACTTTACAAATGCAATCAGTACTAACCACATTGGTTTTGTAAATGAAATATTGTATTCAATGCAAAACACTTTTAACTTGAAAACACATTTAATATACATGTATGTAAGCAGGTATTTTAAGGATAAAAAGGACTGTTCCATGAAGTAAAAGTACAAAATAAGATTGTCTATTGTTTTTATAAGTTTAGAGAAACAAATAAAAAGAACTAAAACAAAAAAACAAGGAAAAAAACCATGCTTTTTCTTTTCTATTCAGCAAGTTATTACATCATAGTAAGATTTTCTTCTATGTACAAAAATCCTTATACATGTAGTATGAAGAGCCTTTTAATAAAATTATTTGAAACAAACTATTTTTTGTCCACTGTTCATTCTATTTGGATGTCTGTGGCTGAGTCATTGCCTTTGAACTATGAGCCCTGGCGTCCCTAAGATGGGTTCAGAGACTTTGGAATCTTTTGTAAA